GCTAAACACCCTCACTATTGATTTCGTGGTAATGCCAATACCTTTCATGCGTGCGTTGTGAGGATCCTCAGGGCTGGCCGTTGCAAAAAAGGGCAACGAAGAGTGCCATTTGATGTCAAAGACATTTAGTGAGTTGGAAGCCATCTTGATGGTCTCAAACGCAGATTCGCGAGCTCGCCATAACCCTAGGTGACCTTTGTATACTGGATCCTCCCCTATTTCGGCCAGACCTCCGGCTAAGAATTCCTTAGTCGACGGAGTATGCCCCCAGGCCAGGGCCGTCGATGAGAACTCAAAGTTGGGCTTATACCGTGCATCGCGGTCGATGGGAAGGAGAGTCGATGTCATATTTTCGGGATCTCGTGTGTCCCAGACCAAAATTGATTCAGTCCCTGTAGCCAATATATCCGGATCGAATCTCGAGACGGACATCACTGCCACCCGGGAATCATGCTGCAAGGTATGAGTGCAGGATACGTTGCAGATTGATTCCACGTCCCAAATCTTGACAGTTTTGTCAAAACTAGCGGTGTAGAGTCGGTTGCCAATCCACTGCATATTATTGACACTCATAAACAGCCGTGGGTCATCAACTGTCGAAGTTGTGGGGCGTGGAATCCAATGGTCTGGAATTTCCCTTAGACGATTGCTTTGAAGATCACCTAAAAGGAGATTGTTCGCCTTGTTGTACTGCATATTATGTTCATCTGATTTAGCTGCGGCGCCTGCCGCAAACTGAGTACCATCAGGCGACCAAGCCAGAACAAGCAGATCGCCCGAAGCGCCTTGCCATGATTTCCATGGTCTCAGATCTGAGACCACATCGGCGAGAATGGGGCGATGATTTCCGCCTCCAAGCTCACGGCTATACAGCAGCTTTTGGACATTTGGACGACGGGGTAAAACGCGACGCGGCTCCTGTGGAGAAGACGCGACTGTGTCCGGAATAGCTTCGACATTAATGTCTGGCTCTTCAGATTCAACGGGAACATTGACCCAAGGATTGGCGTAATAATTAATCGGTTTGGCTCTATTTCGGCTAGAACGACGAATAAAATTTTGCTCGGAGGTTGGCGATATTGACCGGGAGTGAGGGGATCTGGAGGCAGATGACATGACACCCTGTGAGTAAGAGAAATGCTGCTTTGGCATGGGTGCAGTTATCTCATCGTTCCTACTGGCATTTGAGATTGCCACACTTTCCCTAAGAGTCCGTTGGCGCTCCCGGTGACTTGGAGAGATGCCATGTGAGGAAGGGATAGAGACAGAAACAGACTGGGGAGATGGAAGTCGGGAAGGAGCCCTGGAAGGAGCGTGGGAGGAAGCGCGGGAAGAAGCGCGGGAAGAAGCGCGGGAAGAAGCGCGCGAAGAAGTGCGAGGGGAAACCCGAATTGGACTGCCAGAGGAAGGAGCGATAGAGTGGGAAGGAGAAGGTTGAGTGGCATGGCTGCCACTTGATGAACCCATGAGTCGAGGTGATATTTGAAGAGGTGAGCCCTCACTAGGTTGGACTTCAGTCCGCGGACTCTGCCAGACATCTCTGACCTCGTCTCTCGTATTACCAGAGGTGGCCGGAGTGGACGGATTCTCCGGTAGAGAAGAGACCCTAGAATACTGCACTAGCAATCGCAGAGTCTCGCGTTGGATATCTGGATCTTCTGGGATGCTTCGGGCTGACAGACCAGGGAATGCAGGAACTATACCCTGGCCATTAAGACTGGAAAAGCCGTGAGACATTTTAGAAGCACAACTGATGTTCTAGGCTAGAAAGGGAAGAAAAGCGTCAGGTATGAATGTGAAAAGAAAGAAGAAAGCTCTCACATGAACGACTTGATTGATATGAATTTTGGCTGGCTCACGTCTGGTGTCGGACGATGGCAAAGTGAGAAAGACATAACATCGGCCCCGGCTCTCACTTTGTTCACACTAAACGCGAGGTTTCCGTTGTTGCCTTCCAACTAGCCGATTCCTCGGGTGTGTTTCTGTTCCTTCCTTTAAAAGAAAGAAGCCTATGTCTTTGGATGGCTTTGGTGGGAAATTAATTGTTCCGGTATAGCCTTGACAGCTAGCTCTATTAGAGCTTAGGCAAAACAGTCGCGCAAGATATTGGTTTCGAATAGGTGGGATAGACAATATCCGTAGCGAGCGCAGATAGTTCTAACTAGTGGTACGAGGGTCACAAAGATAATGTGATGATGCGACGATGGAGAGGCAAGCTTGGACTGTCAAAGCATTAGGAGTTTTCCACCTAAACGACCGGGAGAAGCACACCTGGGAGAGATACGTGTAGAAGCTCAAAGAAATATTGAGGCACAGAGAGGCAGAGGGGCAGATGAATCAATGCCAGAACTGAAAACCAGAGTGCACAAGATACAGGAGAAAGTGTGGAGAAATTGAGCAGAATCGCGTCGAGAACGCGATAACGCGGGTATAGGCGATGATGGGCGGTGAATCAAAGATAAGGCGGTCAGGTCCAAATGGATTCTTTAATTAAAGGAGTATAAGAGTGAATTTCAAATAAATAACTAAACTACATATTTGAGTACCTGGGTATCGCTTTAGAAGGGCTCCTTGGAGCTCCAATAACTTCAAGAACCTTCACCAAGTCATTCTTTATAGTGAGAAAGTGAAGTGAAAGCCGCCCGCTCGAATTCCTCGTACTCGAACAAGTATACATAGTGGACAGTGAGGGTCCGGACCTTGTCTCCCCATGAAGTGTGGCTGTATGAGTTGTCACATAGGTCCGGTAGGCTTGGAGCCATTTCCTGTCTATTTAGCGATGCGACCTCTTCTACGGGCAGACACCATCAGATCATACAGCACATCCTTGAATGCAAAAAGGAATGCAGCAGTGATGGCGCTCTGGGTGACCTTCGGTCCAATACCTTTGAGGATATGTTAGTGAACATCCAGTATGACTTCCAAAGAATGTTTACCCTTGTAAAGTCCCTTCCAGCCTTCTTCCTGAATGATCCTCTTCAGGCTTCCGTTCAAGCTCTCCTTGGGGCCATCCCTGCTGGCCACATGCGCTCGGCTCTTGATGGTGATGTATGGGTAGGTGAGGCTGGTGGCCAAGATTTTTCCCAGTGCGCCCAAGTAGAACGCATCCTTCGGCGTCATACGCCGGCGGCGCTCCACTATATTTTTCAGTTGCTCGAAAATAGTGTATTGCAGAATTGGGTTGATCACCAGGATCAACGCCGGGAGGACGCCTGCAAATAGAGCCTTGGGGCCCTCCTGCCGGAGCAGGTCTATGAGGGTGCTGAAGGTGGATGCCTTCGTTTTCTTGGCACCAGGCAATGTTGCCTCCGCCTCGGACTTGCGGGCAGTCATGCGAGTGTTGATGACCCAGATTGGGTTGGTAATCAGCACCGTGGCACTCCCTGCAATAGCCCCCGCAATCATAGACTCCACCGTTGTGAGCTTTTTCGAAGCTCGGCCTCCCTTGATGGCGGCCTTCTCAAAGGCCGAACGCGTGAATTCATACCAATAGTAATACACAAAATTGGTGACGCTGATTCCAAACAACGCTGATTCCAGGCCGGAATATAGTCCAGATATACCTTCCCTCTGTACGATGCGGCGTATGGCATCAAGGGTGGTTGAGTGCGCACGCTTCGACTCGACTTGGGCTCGCGTCGACAGAGTGATCAGAGGGTATCTAGAATGGATATGGGGTTAGCAGCAGCGATGGGGAAAATGCGGGAAGCATACGTCAAGACCATCGACAGAACACCCCCTCCTGCACCCGCCAGCGCGTGCGCGATGTTATCACTCTGTTGAACAGCAGCAGATGCTGCCTTGCTCTGCTCGGCTCCTGGTTGAGACATGATGGGAAGAGCTTGGCCTATTGACCTATTTTCAGGTGTAACGTAGAACCTATAAAGAGCAGAAGAAGATGGAATGTGTCAGGAGGTGAAGAACGTTTAGAACTTAAGACCACCGGGGATGGGATGGATGTTCATGACGTTTTGCCGAAGTACTGTGTGCCTCGGCTCCTCCCCAACTCCACTGCATTCCGAGACGCCCCATAGCGCAGATTCACCTTGCACAAGCTTATTTAGTTGATGGGTTTGATTTGATTTGATTTATTTATTGACGAACTCGGTACCTGCATGCTAATCAAGTGACTTGAGTGTGTCACGTTCTAACTACCGAGGTAATAAACCGGAATTGGGAATATCCCCGGACTACCTAGGTAGCTACACGGTAGTTAAGCGGATCAGACCGCTCGGGAGCATGCTCGGTTTTACTCAGTGAGCAATAAAACGGTAAGGGAACGCCAAGAAGTGGCAGAGGAAATCAAGTACGTAGGTAGCTATACGTACTTGATTTCCTCTGCCGGGTGGGGTTTTCCTATCTTAGCTGCCGCCGCTTTTATGAGGGCGCTCAGAGCCAGGCTCACTGAGTAGATTTCAGTCCGCGCTCCGACTCAGTGAGCTGCTCAGATATATTCACGTGACTCAACAGTGAGATCCAATGAACGCTCACTGAGCACTCAGTGAGTCTGATTGGATGCTCGCTGATTACTCAGAGACCGCTCAGAGTCCTCTAATGAGCACTTAGTCTAATTCAGAGTATACCCAAACGACCTGGCCCAGGAGACCGATTTAGTCATTCTGTTGAAAGTAACGATGCTTTTCTACTGCCCAAAAGGCTTCGATGGTCGCTGTACTCGAGACTACTACCTAGCCCGCAAAAGCTGCGGGCTCGAATACAGTGACCAAAACCCGCCCTTTTTGCGGGGCGTAGGCATGAGCGGCCTGAGTAAGCACCATCAATAAAATGCAACACGCTAATTACGTCACGTGTATGTTTTTGCTTATCGGGAGTATACTATTAGGTCACCTGACAGGTTCTGGTATAATACATGTAATCCAGCAAAATTTCGCTGGTAACCTTTCATAACCGTAATTCCGTCCACCACAACAACTCTTTCCATTTCTGTTCTTCCAAGGTTTTTTTTTTCCTTGACAACCTCACCTTTCTGTTACTTGACAATGGAAGCTCGAAGTTCAAAGAGAAAGCGGGAGTTTTCCCCTGGTACAGTTGCGTCTAGTATCAGTCTTCCTATTGCTGTACCACCACTGCCGCTAGCCGAGACCGAACCAGGCGTCCCACATTCCAAAACCCCACCGTCATTGACCAGTGATAACGACTCCACCTCGAAGAGCTCTTGCCGTTCGCCACCAACTCCATCTCAAACTCGAAGTGACCAAAATACCTTCACAATGAGAGACGAGAGAGATATACTAGATCTGTACGCAACCGACTACCAACCTGTTTGGGCTGCAGGAATTGAATTCCCCGGTGTCATTCCAGAAGAGATATCACAGTATCTATATGAGGATGGCGAGCAGGTCTCCTTGTTCATCGGACCGTTGTCAAGCCTTTTTTGGCTTGAGGGGGTGGAAGAGCTCGAAGAGCTCATTCGCGATCCCGCATATGTTCTTACAGATGAGTACCGTTCGATCCCACAGGGTTCTCCGCGTCTTTGGATTGTTTCAATTTTGTTTGAAGAAGGGAAGATACCAGCAACATTCATGGACAAGATCTATGAAGAACCTGTCCGACGCCAGGCTTCCGCGCTTTCTTATGCCAGCTTTATTCCCCCAAATCTCACAACAACTCCTACTCAAAACAGGATTCAAGATGTCTTCCCCTTTGCGCGCCTCCAATCTTTTCCGCCAACTATTTCTTGCATTAAGACAAAACTGAAGGGAAAGAAGAACAACCGTGATGAAAATTACGTTGATTTGATGAATACATTCATCAATTCACTTGGCGGCAATCTTCTTTACAAGGGCTTATCACGTCCGTCAATAGTCAGCCTAGCCTCACTCTTCGCGCCCCTCGTCTCTTCATACACGCTTCAGAACGAGTTCGGACCCGGTTTATACGCTACTTCCTCACTCAAGTATGCGTTGGACTATGCTGGCCCAGATGGGGTCATTTTGATTTTCAAGGATGTTGACTTCCGTCCGTTGGTTAAGATTGATTTGGCCGGCGAAGACTGGCGAACTACGGTGGACTATTGGACCGGGGCGACGATTTCAAATGTTTCTGAGCGTGTACCAGCACTCTGGGAGCGATCCGATATCTTGCAAGGCCAAATCTCCGTCAAAGATCTGAGGTCCAAACAGAGGGTTCCCGGACCAGATTCCCAGGTTGTGGGAGTCAGCTATGCAGGCTTGAATGCATTTGCATCTGCTTTGCACATGATCATTTGGCTAGACAGTTCGCGCTGAGAGAAGTTCGTTGCTTTATGTCATCTTGTTTTCAATTGTCTAGCTAGATCCGGGCTCTTATTCTTATCCAAGGAGCGGATCGTCTCTGTCGACCCGGCGTGGTTGTGGCTTTTGCTTTTGATATTATTTCCTCTATTGCTGTTGCGTGAAAGCCTATGGCTGGTGGAAAGATAATGATATTATAATGTCTAGTCTAATGATAATATACGGCTCAGGTCATATGACCAGCCATAGCCTGATAGGTGCCCCCTCCTGAAGGTGGCTGCCGTCCTCGGTAGTAAGTAATGGTATACAAATCGTAAAATTATGATAGGAAACGGACGAAGGTTTAGTCTGTCGCACAACCCGGGGTTGGGTCGAGATATCGGACCCGGACCCGGACCCAACACTGGGGCCCCAATGGTATTTGATAGTTTGGGTTTGCGGTGGCACGAAAAGGTCTAGAGCTCCTAGGAAGTCCTCTCGGACTTCAGCTAGGATAAGTTATTTTCTGATTGCTAGTTTAAATACGTTAGAGTACGTTAGACAAATAAGGGGACGCAAATTTCGTTATAGGCAGCTAGATCACCCCAGTAGACATAATCGATTAGTCTAGAATATTTTTGCGGATACCTAGGTCGCTAGAGCTGAAGTGGTATTCCTAGGAGCAAGCGGGCAGGCAACAAGAGCGATAAACCAGTGTTATTCAAGCAAAATACAAAAGAATTAAAAAATAAGAATTAAACACTAAACTAGATTTATAAGCCACTCAATTGGGGTTTTCTGAGATATTCCTAGATATTATAGAACCAAAAATTGAGGGCTGGATATTTTCCGCAACTATATAGAGACGGTATTGTAGAATGCGAGACTCGGCGAGTTGAATAGTAGTATAGCCGCAGAATAGTAAAACCAATGAATGTAGCCCCACTATCAATTTGCCTCTTAGCTGGAGGCGAAATAACCAGGATCGACCGCCAAATTGATGACGCCAGCCTTTTGTTGAGGGGACAACGGTCAAGAGTCCTTGTGAACAACTGCATTTGGATGGGGCTAGCGTGGTGCATTTTATTGAGGTGAGCTGCTGACTTAGCTGCTCCCTACGCTTCGCTCCGGTGAGCAAAGTCTTGAGCTTATATAATAATCAGGTCGTGCTTAGTGAGCTAGTCAGAGCGCTCAGGTCAAGCTCAGTGAGTAAGATCAGGCTACTTAGTGAGCAAATCAGAGCGCTCAGGTGACGCTCAGTGAGCGAGTCATCCAGCTTATATAACGATCAGGTGATGCTCAGTGAGCGAGCGTGGTGATTATGTAATACTAAGGGGCGTGCTCAGTTCTACTCAGTGAGCAAAAAGCGGCAAGGACTGAGCACTAAGACGGAAATGGAAAGCCAAGAAGTGGCAGAGGAAATCAAGTACATAGGTTATTTTAGAGTCAGTGCCTGTGACTTGCATGTGATCATACATCTTCATACATGCCTTCGCAATGTATCTAAAACGTTATATTTTAACTCGATAAGGTTTTGCACAGTACAACGCACTGGTTTACCGGAAAATAATAGAAAAAGTAGCCCCATGTGAGGCATTATGCCTCGAGAAGTCGCAAGGTTCTCGCTATTAGTCCATTCACAAGTGGGAAATCCAACCTACAGAAAAAAAAAGCGAAAATAGAAAATAGAAAGGTGAAGAGGAAAGGGGGAAGGGGGGAGACACAGAGAGAATGACGGGCCAAGGTAATAGAGCAGAGACGTGGCCAGGAAATCATGAGAACGCAGAAACCGGCGGTAATCGCACGAGCAAACGCAGTAACGAGGATAGAACGCAGGCAGTCTAAAGCGAACCCAAGGCAGAGAAGAACCCCCAGCGGCATCATCATAACGACTGCCAGCTCTGTGGAGAATCGTCTCCTTGCACATCAGGAACATGCCGAGTTTCCAAAGGCCTGACAAGCCTGACTTCTGTCGATTAGATACCACGCCGCTTGAGACCCCTCAATTCATGATGTAACATTGCGCCAATTTGAAGCACCGCACCGCACAAAGAGAACATCGTGCCGTTTAGCAGCAGCCACCTGCTGATCCAGACTGGACACCCTGTCCCTGACCAACCTGCACAGTCGGCTTGTTGTTGACAGTGGCCGTTCCCATGCGTTCCTTGATCTGCCGTGCCATTGTCAAGAATGCCTGCTCAACATTCGACGCGTTCTTGGCCGAGGTTTCGAGGAAAGGAATTCCGAGGCTATCGGCGAACTCCTGTAAAAGTGCAATCAAGACATGTTACTAGTCTATCCTAACGGCCTTGAAGTCTGTCTTTAAACATACCTTGGCAACGGTGTATTCCACGACCTTCTTGTCCTCCATATCGCTCTTGTTTCCAACGAGCAGCTTGTTAACACCCTCGGTAGCGTACCGGTCAATCTCCTGGAGCCACTGCTTCACGTTGTTGAAGGAATCCATGTCGGTGACATCGTAAACCACGCAAATACCATGAGCGCCCCGGTAGTAAGAAGATGTGATGGTACGGAATCGCTCCTGGCCGGCGGTATCCCACTGTATGCATTATTAGCTTTGCTTCAAATGTTCGGTGTTCAATCTAGCCGTACGATCTGAAGCTTCACGGTTTTGCCGTCGAGTTCGATTGTGCGGATTTTCTATAATCCCCTGTCAGCACCACTATTCTCTTGCAGCCAAATACCCTGCAGCTTCCGAGACGTACGAAGTCAACGCCGATTGTCGAGATGTAGCTTTCGGTGTAGGTATCATCGGCAAAACGAAGCAGCAAGCAAGACTTTCCAACACCGGAATCACCGATGAGGAGCAGCTTGAAAAGGTAATCGTATCTATCTCGATGATTAGGCAACGGAGATCGGCAAGTTAGGGGATTTGGGTCGTGTGACGGTCAAATCAACGACGGAACAATACTCTAGAAATCAAAATCACATCAGTCAAATTCAACACAGAGGCAGACTTGTATAGTCGACCAAAGTAGGGCGCATAGTTAGAAGGGAACTTGGGGGATGGATGAGATGGGGAAGGCTTACCACTCGGGATTCATGATGAGATCTGGGAGGTGGATAAGAAGGTGGAATAAAAGCAGAGATAGAGCACACACAAGTCCAGAGGAATATAAGGGAAGGAAAAAAAAGAGTTGATGGAGTCGAAGTTCCTAAGAAGTCGGGGGAGGGGACAATGATGGAACAGTCGCCTGAAATGATAGGAGGTGCAGGGAGCCAGATGCACCTGATGCGCAGCTTTGTTTCACGTCACGACCACTTCTCGGATTTTCTATTCTTTCGGTGTTTTCTATATCTTCTATAGAGGTCCCTTCTTGATTTTAGTTCTCCTTCTACCGATATATCTATCACAAGGATAGTTTTTTTATTTTGATTTCCATTTCCTGGAGATCACCTGCTCAACTGATATCCCGTGCATAAACCCAGCCTCGTGGACCAATGACCTGAAGAATCTAAAATCCCCTTTGACACTGTATCAAAATCAAAGAAAGAGTCCAGTTGAACACATTTATTGTTGAAAATCATAAAGCCACCATGTTTGTAGATGCACATTTATGCGTAACCATGTGCCAGCAGCCATTCAAGAACCAACGCCTCCTCACGCTCCTTATAGGATGCATTGGTTCGAATGTTATCCGAGACAATCACGAGCGCACGCTCATAGGCCCCCGTTTCCTTGTCCTTGAAGAAGGCCGCAATGTCATCATTGGTCTGGTGGTCGGCAAACTTTGATAGACCCATACGGACAAAGCGCTCAAACACAACATTGTTATATGACAATCGTGTTTCGACAACAGTCCAGTTGTCCTTGATGTACTGCCATAGCAAATGCCGAACCTTCGAGTTGGCGGCCAGAGATACAGCACCGCTGTGGATGTCTTGGACAGCCACCTTATCTGAAAACACGAAGTCCAAGTAGTCCTTCACCAGAGCAGCATCTTTTGTGCGTCCCAGTGCGGACAGGCAAATCTCTTTGCCATCCACAGAGTCTGTCTGGATATACTCTTCCTTAACGGCATCGTATTCCTTGCGGCCGCCCACGGACACATTCACGCTGAAAATCACTGACCGTAGATTAGTATGGATGGCACTGATGTCTTTTTTGGTCGCCCAGAGATCAAAACGGCGCTTGGCCTCTGAAACAAATCTATAAGATAATGAGACTGTATTAGAGAGCGTTCAACAACATCCGGACACGATGAAAAATAGCTCACCCTTCATGACCCGCATTACAGGCCATTGCAATAAGTAGCTTCCGAAGCTGGACAATGAGATAGTCCTCATCAGGTTTGAACTCCCAGCCAATCCGTTCTGCGGCTGGGGAAGCCAGTTGAAGGGTAAATTGCTTCAATCCGTTGGCCACTTTCTCGTTTTGTGAGAAAACCGACCGGAGGTTCCCCAGAGATGCAGAGATTTGGGACCAAACACTGCAAGATGAGAGATTAGAAATGATACCAAAGGACCATAAGGCGAAGTTTCTCACAGATAATTTTGTTCCTCCTTGAATCCTTCCAGAAGAGTCAACAAAGCGGGCGTAGTGCCCTCGCCAGAGACTGCAAGGGCAGCTGCATCACCCAGCAAACCGATCTTGTCCTCGGTGCTCAGCAGATCAAGCGACTGGCCCAGCTTTGCCAGATGCACGGGGGGGTAGTTCGTTCGGTAGAACCCAGACAAGTCCTTGTTGATCTTGTAAAAAGTGCCCTCCCCAAGTCCGCTGATGGTGTCGGATTTCGAGTTTAGAGCACGGGTGTCAACAGTAGCTAGTTCTGCTCCGGATTTGATGCCGAGAGGAATCCACCATTTCGTCTCATCCTCCTCTGGCTTCGCATCGCCGGTAGACAAGAATCGATTCTGGCTAACGGTGATCTGGCCGGGCTGCTCTGTCACGGTGACAACCGGGAATCCGATTTTGCGAATCCAGGGATTCTAGGGCAGCTCAGTCAGATCTCAAGCTGACCAACAGACAGCCAAACAAAGAGCTAAGGGGTACTTACCATGAAAGAATGCACGTCCTGACCGGAGGCTTTGCTCAGGGCGGACCACAGGTCATTTGTGGTTGCATTTCCTATAACCACTCAGCAGATGTTCCTTGAAATCTTCTTCTTTGACGCCCTACCATATGCATGAGATTTGAGATAGTCCGCAACTCCACGCAAGAAAGTCTCCCTGCCGAGATGAACACTAAGCATGCGAATGACAGAGCTTCCCTTCAGGTAGCTGATATGGTCGAAAATTTGGTCGACTTCGAGGGCGTTCCTAACGGGAACTTCGATAGGGTGGGAAGCGCGGAGCGAGTCGAGATGAAATGCTTGTTGCACACCTTCAGCCTGGAAGAACGTCAATATCAGTCGTAGCATAATGGATATTACCTCGGGAATTCCGTACGACAAACTGAGACCAGACATTCCACTCTGCTTGCACATTAGATACTGCGTCAGAGGCTCATCTGCCAGAAGCGACCAAAGCTCACCAGGATAGAAATGATCAACGGCAAGCCAACCGACCCAGGTTGCGAATCCCTCATTCAGCCACAACTCATTCCACCAGTCCATGGTGACAAGGTTGCCAAACCACTGGTGAGCCAGCTCTATAAAATGAGTCAGATAACGAATCCATCTTGACATCAACATATGCAGAGATCGAATGGATGTGGGGACTGACCGTGAGCTACAACGTAAGCAATGCGGTTCTTGTAGCGGTTGTCGGACGTCCCTTCATCGAAGAGAACAGCGGTCGTTCGATAGGTCACAAGACCCCAGTTCTCCATGGCACCCATGGCCTAGAGACTCGCATTTTAGCTCAAATGAAAAGCTTGGAACACATAGGGAATAAATGGTTACTCACAAATTCGTGAACTGCCAGGAGATCAGCTTTGGGGAGGGGGTATTCAATTTCAAAGACTTCCGAGAAATAGTCAATCGTGCGGTGAGCACATTCCAGTGCAAAGCGAGCCTGGTCCTGAAGGCCCCGCGTGGTATAGACTCGAACGGGAATACTCTTGCCTTGGTATTTGCGCTCGGTCATAGCCTCGACGTATTCGAAGTCACCAACTGCCCAGGCCAGAAGATAGGTGCTCATAACCGGCGTCTTCTCGAACGTGACAAACTTCAAACCAGGCTTGTTTCCGTCTCTTTCGGATTGAACCGGCATGTTGCTCAGTGCAGTCTGTCCCTTGGGAACTTCGATCTCGAAATCGAAGGTGGATTTCAAGTTTGGCTCATCGAAACAAGGGAAAGCCCTTCGTGCATCGCAGGACTCAAATTGAGTGCTTAGCATGTAGTAGAAGTCATCCTCCTTAGGAGTGTCGGTAGATGGCTCCCCCACCGGCTTATACTTCGAGCGGTAGAAACCGGCCATGGCGTTGTTCATAGTGCCCGTAAAGTTGATGGAAAGGACAACGTCTGCCGGCGCAATCTCTTGCGAGAAAGCGAGGGAAACTCGCTCTGATTGCTTGTCGTAGGTGATCCCGGATACTTTGGCCAATTGGCTCCCTATGACAAGAAGACCGAAATAAGTTTTGTCCTCTCTATATCACCCTAATTATATTCTCCCACACGTACCATCTTTTCCCAATATCTCAGCATTTTGTACTTCGATCTCCTTCGAGTTCAGCACAATCTCGCTGGTAGCATGGGTGACTTTAAGATCGATCTTCAATGCGCCCTTGTATTCCCATGAACCACCGAACTGCAAGTCGAAAAGGGAGACATGGTAGTTGATAGGCTTAGCTCTATTGTCATGTCAGTTTCCAATGCTGCGAACCAGAAAGAAAGGGAGGACTTGAATGTGGCAAACGAAAAGGCAGCAAAAAAAGAAACATAATAGCCCAAGCGGGGGGCATCACTCACACGTCAGGAAGTGTCTCTCGCTCTTGAGAAGCCATCATGCGGGCTTCGGCGGAACAATGCCTAATGGGAGGGAAATTCAGATCTAATATAGCCGCGGGTGTAGGCAGTCGAGGCCGGAGTCGAGGAGAATGTGAAAGAGAAAGTTTGTGTAGTGTGCGAGAAAGAAGAGGAGGGGTAGGGCGGACAGTGACTGGACGGAGGACTTGAACTGCTACGCCAGCACGAATGGATCTTCTTCCCCACATCGGGGGGTTTCTAGCTTAACCGTCTACGGCTATCGTCGGAGCTATTCCAAAAAAGCTTGGTTTGGAAGAGATTGCGACTTGCGACTCGGTGAAAGAGGAGATAGGGAGGATATTCTCCAACGGAGCTCCGTCGGAAGCTTGGACCATTCTCGGTCTTCCGCTTGGATCCTCTCTCTTTCTCTCTCCACTCTTACCTACGAACATGGCCGACTCCGACGAAGAATATGTGGGGGAGGTAACCGAAGACGAAGATGATTTACAGGTGACTCGGGGCGATAATCCGCGAGCCAAAAGAAAGCAGCGCGGAGGCGCAGAATGGGAGCTATCCAGAACCTGGGAGACACTGGTGGAGGGTGCAGATGGTACCATCAACTCGACCGTTGAAGGGCTTCTGGAGGCCGGGAAACGAAAAAGGTCAGTTTCTTCCCTTTGCCGTGTCCCCATATTCTTGCTGAAGTGTATCGGTCATCCAGGCTCTTGAAAGATACGACACCACTACAGCGCGGTATCATTCGACATCTCATCCTAATTCTGGATCTTTCACAATCCATGTCTGAGAAGGACTTGCGACCCACGAGATACTTGTTGACTCTCCGATATGCCCAGGAATTTGTGAGGGAATTTTTTGAACAAAATCCCATCTCCCAGCTTGGTGTCCTCGGCCTGAGAGATGGTCTCGCGCTCCGAGTCAGTGACATGAGTGGAAATCCAACAGAACACCTCACCGCCATTCAAGCCCTCAAAACACAAGATCCGAAAGGTTTGCCTAGTCTTCAGAATGGATTGGAGATGGCACGTGGTGCTCTTTTGTATGTGTTTACACTGGCTACATGAAACCTGGGGGATTTAAACGAAACTAATTGGTGAATTTAGCCATACACCTAGCCATGGCACTCGAGAAGTGCTATTTATATATGGTTCCCTCCTTTCCTCCGATCCTGGAGACATTCACCAAACGATAGATACCCTGATTAGCGACAAAATTAGGGTTAATATGGTGGGGCTCGCAGCCCAGGTTGCAATTTGCCGGGAACTTTGTACAAAAACCAATGGTGGTGATGAAACAGCATATGGAGTAGCACTGAATGAGCAGCACTTCCGGGAGCTGATGATGGACGTGACTACACCCCCAGCTGCCTACTCACAGAAAGAATCTGCAGGCTCATTGCTGATGATGGGGTTCCCTTCTCGTACAGTGGAGTCCTATCCCTCGCTCTGTGCATGCCATTCAAAGCCCTCACGAGGAGGCTATCTTTGCTCACGATGCAACAGCAAAGTGTGTAGTCTTCCTGCCGAATGCCCATCTTGTGGGCTCACTTTGATCCTTTCAACCCATTTGGCACGATCGTATCATCATCTATTCCCCTTGATCAACTGGGTCGAGGTGCCGTGGCGTCGAGCCTCGCGAAGCTCCGCTTGCTTTGCCTGTGGTCTTTCTTTTCCGTCCGTGCCTTTGGAGGATCACTGGCAAATGACAGAGAACCAGACCAAGGGAATGAGTGTGAGCAGTCGCTACGAGTGTACCGCATGTCATAACCACTTTTGTATCGACTGCGATCTCTTTGCCCATGAGGTCGTGCATAACTGCCCCGGTTGTCAAAGTAAAAGTACATCCCTGCACTCTGAAGCACCCAACCCAACGTCAGGTGGAATGGATATCATGGTCTAGGGTGTGGAATTATCTTAATATTGCATAGTTTGGCGTCGCAAGATATCCCTGGATTTTTCTGTTCTGTTCAAGGGCCAAAAGTTAGCATGGGGAATGGGTGAGGCGTTTGTATATACCAATCTTTTTCTCTCGCAAGTGCCATGTCGCTTTCACCATTTCTCGAGGTGAGTAGAAAAGGCTCTATGCGGTCAAATGGTGCAGAGTAAACAATTGGCGAGCGCACTAGAGCAGACGAGCCTCGGCTACGGAGTAGTTAGCTTACAACTAAGATTGCCCCACGCATCCTCCGCATCCTCCGCATCTCAGATATCTGTGTGTATTCTTCATCGAACAATGGCGCAGGCCTCGCAAGCTCAGATATTTGAAAGATTACATTCTTACCCCTTCATATCGGATCCCGAGTTTGCAAATGGCCTCTCAATAATACTTGGTCACCCCGACACCCCCGCCACCGAGGTGGAGATGAACCGGGATGACGACCTTGTCCTAAAAGCGAAGTGTTTCTTTTTCTCACGGTAGGTCGAGGACATATACGCAAAATGGGTTGGGTACTAATATTAGCATAGAAAAGAAAACCTCACTCCGGCTATTGACTTTTCTGCCTTCAAGTCGTGGTTGGCATCGCGGACAACGGAGCCCCAAGGGCTGGGCAACACAGACTTACAAATCTCCAAGGCATCCGACCCAAGCACATCTGGGGCTGAGAGTTCAACACGTTCTGAACCTGCTTATCCATCGTCATTTGCACACATTGTGGAACTCATCACTACGGGACAACCAATACCTGGGATCCAGGACATCCCAGACACGGTGCTTAGTGGCCACGATACTTCCAGTGAGAAACCACGGCGACGGAAACCATGGGAAAAGGACGAAGTGGTGACTGCTTCCAATGACACTCCAAGTGCTGCTCCCTAAAAATGATATTCTATCCACATAAGGTTCATGATGGATTAAATATTCGATTAGAATTTGGGTAATAACAATGTGGTTTTCTTGAAGAGAAATTTAACGTGACACGCCCCAAGCTTCAATCCATAAGACTGAATGAAATGATAGCCACTGGGGATAGCAAGCCAAATGAATAAATCGGCAAGCAATGATAACTCACAATATTGAGACACAGAAATGATTGGATAATTGGGAACTGGGTCGACAGATATTGATAAGACACAGTCAGGCAAACCGGCAAAGACAGACTGTCTGCTTGAAAGCAGAGGAGATGAAATGCTTAACTGGTGCTTTTTCTTCTTCGTTGTTGATTCTGGTTGTTGTTGTTTTTTTGCTCTTTTTTTTTTTTTTTTTGCACGCCCATCAAAGGGAACATGAAGTATTAAGAGGCAGACTCAACGAAGTGGCGCATAATGGGGTCCCCATTGATGTCCCCGGCCAAAACGACCACCGGATTGGCTCGTGGTCGTAAATTTGTCTTCGTTGAAATTGTTGAAACGGCCAATTTGCATTCCAGCCCCAGGACCAGGGCGTGTAGCATGAGACGGGTTGCAGCAAAGCATTGCCACACGAGAGCCAAATTTAGAGCCACGAAGGGAGACCATGTGTTTCCTAGTTAAATCAGGTTAGACTTCAGACCACTCAAAGTAGAATAGACTGTCAGGGAGTGTTACCGAATGTGGCTCGCCACGAGCTCTCGTTGATGAGGTGCGGCGTTCATCAAAATCCATTGGATGAGATAGTTACCATACTGGTCACCCGCTACTAAAAAAAATTAGTACGTTTTCACGGCGTTAAAGCCTGAGCAACTTACTGTCGATCAATGGCATGCGAGGTCGGTCAGATCGGCCAGTGCAGACACGAGAGAGATAATGATCCATAAACTCTGTGCCGCCAATCTTGAGGCATTTTTCCACAATCTTAGACGCGAACTGATCCATGCTGTAATCCACAGACCAACGAAGAACATGCTCAACAGCACGGCTCTTGTCGTGGGGAGCACCGTGCTCGCAGATGTGTTGGATGCACCAATTCCCGAATTGGCCATGAGCGAGTACATCGATCTTCGCCAGTACTTCTTCGATTGCCGGTCGCTGCAATAGATTAGCATTGGCATAATCAATATAAAGGACCAACAGAGAAGTAGGACAGCGAAAACAAGGGGCTTGATGCGTATGGTATCTGACGGGGAGTCTCACCTTTTCCTCCTCCACACAGTTCTCAAAGATATTTTGGACGACCAGACTTCCTGTCTCTCCAAGAGCAACCTCGTGCCACATTCCACGTAGTGCGTCATTTACTTTGGCCATCACCTGCGGAGGCTCACCACTCCACCGGAGCTCGAAGAGTTTCTGCCAAACGTGGCACGCATATCGATGGACCACCGTCTCAGGAATTCTGCGAAGAAGTTCATGTACCATGATAGCTTTATGCTCTTCTGAAACGCAGTCAAACGCCTTTTGGACGACATGACAGCCAAATGCATCCATGCTGAGGTTCAGCGTATTTCCTCTGATTGCATTCGCGATAGCGACGACTTGCTCCGGAGTTCCATGTTCAAAGCAGCGTTGTATGAGGAAGTTTCCAAAGCGGTTAACCATGAGTGGGTAGGCTTGGTGCACAATTGACTCGATAATGTCGTATTTTTGCTCAGTTGTGCCGACCTTGAGCTTTTGCTGTAAGAAAATTGAAGCTTGTTGGTCATTGTTGCAGATGATCTTGTCTACAATGTACTTCCAATCACACGACACATTCTTGTCGAGCAGGCGTCGATAGTTGAGTGGCTCGAGTGGGGACACGTACGTCTGGATGGAATTGCCGCTCGTCTGACAAGAGTTAGAATGAATGTAAACACGATGCACATGGTTATCTCTTACCGAGTTGGTCCATGTGGTTTCATTCGTGTTGGTACCCGTAAACTCGGTAGCAGTAGGTGAAAGGGGGCTGCCAATCGGTCGAGGGGGGTAAGAGGGCACAGAGTAAAGCCCGATCTGCTGAAAGGCGCTAGGAGGTCTCTTCGGCGAAGCAGGTGACTTGACGGTCTGCTCACTGGAGGACCCAGAAGCAAATTCACCCCAAGGAGTAGACTGAATTGGGAATAGAGATCCACCCCTACTGTTTTGAGTGATGGAGCGACGAGCCCCAGTGATGGGTCCTGAAGGACACAACATCTGTTCACCAATGGGACGTGAGTAGAATCCACATGGACTAGCTGGGGACCCCGAGTGTGGTCTTTGCGATTGTAGAGATGGTGGGCCGGGAAACGGAGGATACACATTCGAGACTCCCCAGAACCGATTTGGCTCCTGGCTTGTCGAGCTGCTGGTGCCTGAAAGGCTCTCTCCGTATTCTCTGTCTGTGGCAGCCTCATTCTGGGCCCAGAGTGCGCGAGATCTATTGTAAGCTCCTGTAGACAATGGATCCGAGACATCAGATTGCGAATCGTCTTGGGCACTCCACGCATCTTGACAGTGAGAGAATGCAGAGCTCGATGCATTAAAAGCATTCTGCAGGTGACTAATGGTCTGCTCTGTAATTTCGCGGCTGCCGAAATCAGCCTCTGATGACGGACCAAGGGCTTGATCCAAGGTATGTTTTATCACGCGGGTTTGGGCAAGCTCCTGCTCCTGCAGAGCAATCTTGGAATTTGCAGCAAGGAGTTCCTGCCTAAGACGAAGGAGCTCCACCGTTCTGTCTTCCTGGGGGTAAGGATTGGGGGCTTTTTTGAGGGTTAAAGTTGACACCGTTGTAACTGGAGTGATCTGGGACGAAACAGAAGAGCGATCGGTTTCAGAACGTGAAAGGGGTTGTGTTTTGGGGGAAATCTTGGCCAGTATTCTGTCAAGATCCGATGTTTGTCCGTTCAAAGGTTCAACTTTGATATGATCTAGCTTCTGCTTCTAGGATTGTGAGATCACAGACACCCAAACGCATGAGTCAACACCAGAGGAAACACATACCTTGCTCGACGAGTGCTCAGCCCCTTCACCAGACAAGGACTGCAACATTCCATGCCGGGATGTTTCAGCCGTATCGGAAGAACCGTAATGAGCAATCGAGTTCTGAGGGTTCTGTCGCGACCAATGTGATTAGCATGCTGGAGAATCGATTCAAAGCTGTCTCCCGAGAAGCATACCGAGGAATCGTGTCCAAAAGAAAGATTTCGCACATCAATGGTATCATTGGAGGTAAAACATCCCCCATTCCCCATTCGACCAAGTGTTGAAGGTCCGCTTAGGGTAGACATGTTGTCAACTGGAAGAGATTAAAGTAAAACAGAAACAAAACCAGAGATAGAAACAGCAAAGAAGAAAGGCGAAAAAAAAAAGTAATGAAGTCGCTGCGTGAAGGTTGGGACAAACAGGCTCGTTGGAAACCAAGTGAGTTTACATGCAACGAAAAGGATTCCGAGCAGATTCTTGCGAGATGATGGTAAACATAAGGGAACTTTTGGAGATGAGGAAGTAGTGGAAGGTGAGAAGAGACGAGATTGGGACTGGAGGATAGAAGAAGAAGTGAGGTGGGAGGAGGAGGGAGAGGACCGATGGCATGGAACAAGAGATCGAGGAAGGAGCAGAGTCAGAAGAGAACCTTCCACTTGGATATATATAGGTTCCTGTGAACTACTCAATTAGGCATAGTTGGTCTCCATTTTCATACATACAATACCACTCTGCTCATCTTCTATAGATCGGACTATGTAATAAAGTAGATGGTTAGGTATGTCAACAATCCAAATGTATACTCAACGTATATCCATACTACTCCGAAGATCGAATATTTCCTTTGTTTTGCACATTGTAACCTTGTACACAGAGAAAAGGTGATACGATTTATAGTATCCTGCATGACGCCCAATCCCAAGAAGGGGGAATTATATTGGGCCAAATAGATCAGATTGGTATAGTACGTTGTCAAGGACAGAGGCTGCATCAGTGCATGTATATCTAAATGTTCCCTGCCCTAACTAACTCCCAAAGCCATGACAATTAATTGCATGCAGATCAGGGTCCATGCCACGTGATCCGGATGACGCGTAATGGATCCAA